TATGCGATACATTGCAAAGTGGAACAACATCACTATTATGTGAATGTACAGCGCAGACTCATACTACAATGAACTGCTGTTTCTCAACAGGGTGTATGATCTTTGTGGCTTCAGGCTCCTGTCTTTCTAAGGAATATTCTACAAGAGCTGGGCGGTGTTGTCCGATGTGCAAAATAGGTACGGTAACATGTAACAAGTATTCAAACATCAGAAGTAAGTATAAGAGTATTTTAAAATATGAATTGAACTGGGATATCCGAAGCTGAAGTTGGCTTTGCTCCCTGAAGTGCTCCATCAGAGACCTGAAACGGGATACACTTATTGTTACTGACTCTAATCCTCATTTTGTAATTGTAATTTGCCTTCATGTCTTGATGTTGAGATGCTGACAGAGTGTTTGTGTGTTGAACAGGGACCGTTGTACAGATGGACTGCACGTCACATACAGGCACACTCTGCAGGGGCTGCGAGAACGGGACTTTTATGAACCAATCCAACAGACTCGATAAATGTTTCACATGCACCTCCTGTGACTCAGGTATGTCTTTAATGTGTTATTATGATTATATCTTTGTAATCTTTTATGACAGTAACCGTGGATATCTTGGTGTCTTTGGACTTTGTTACATTAAAAGTCATATTCAATATAGACCAATAATAATAAATGTAGACTTCATCTAAATATTTTTTTCTAAAACTCCAAGTCCATTGAACGCATCATTATTTTCTGATAAACTGTCGCTCGATGACAAATGATTGGACTGAAATATAACAGGCTATTACCTCTTTTGGAAGTGCATTTAATAAGACGTCTATTATATTCCATCCACAATTCTCTTATTTCCTGCTTTAACATTTCATTAAACATTTTATATATATATATTTTGGTATATATATATCAACATTTTTTAAATGAAGTCAAGATGTGTGAGTTGAATTTTAAATATTTGTTAGGTTTGCATACATTGACTGTTTCAATCTGTTTCTTTAGGCCCCGGTCTCTTTGTCCTGCAGGGCTGTTCAGAAACAACTGACACAGTCTGTGAAGTTATAGATGGGTATTACTGCAAAGATTTAGATGTGACAGGATGCAGTGCGGCACAAAAGCATACACAATGTGTACCTGGTGAGAAGATACAAGAACCTGGTAAGTAAAATGCAGGTCACACTCTCCTGACAGTTTACATGCACACTGAAGTCCTGGCCTGAGGCTTATCCTGGTTTTACTCATGGGGTGGCTCAGTCTGTAGGGACTTGGCTTGAGAAGCCAAAGGGTCGCCGGTTCAAGTCCTGCATGGACCAAAAAGGTGGAGTGTATTTGGAGAGTAGCTGGAGAGGTCCCAGCAGCCTCCTGGGCACTGCAGAGGTGTCCTCGAGCCCCCATGGGAACCTGGAACACAGGTTGTAAGCCCCTTGGCTCTGCCTGCCCTTCATTAGTGCCTGTCTTTAGGTGTGTGTGTGTATATCGGGTGTGTGTGTTCATAAACGCAATACTAAACTTCCCCTCAGGGGTTACTCAAAGTTGATCTTGATGTAAATCTTAATTTTTACACTACACAAAGTATCAGATAATAATTACATCGAATACATCACTTTTGATCAGACTTTCCACTGGACTATAACCCGAGGTGCAGAAGCTCACATGACAGGCAGTAAACAGGAACCCCTCCTAGTATCTTTATGAGTCCTGCAGCTATCACCTGAGGGTTTCTGAGACAGATATGATGACCTCCTCGTACGTTTCAGTAACCATCCTGAAAGATAACCCTTAAATTACTCTCATCTTAAAATGATGACTGTAGATGTACTGTTTTCATTTCCTGAATGAACTTTTAGACAGTGTGGAATGATCTCCTGCAGTGTGAACATAAAAACACTAAATGAAGACACTGATGTGATTATGGATCATTACTGGATGTTGGCTGCTGTGTGACTAATCTCTCGTGTGTCCCTGTCTCTAAGGAACTAGCAGAGAGGATGTACAGTGTGAACCCTGTCAGTCTGGCTTCTTTTCAGAGCATGGTGTGAATTGCACGGACTGGACAACGTAAGGCTTTGTTTGTTATGTTATTACTAAAACAGGTAGGGCTCTTCCTGCCCTGCAACATGAAATGACCACTTTGTTTCTGTAATAATTGCTCCAATGAAGTTGTGATTTGTGGCTTTATTTGTATGCGTGATGGACCAATCTTTCCCATCCACAGGAGATTCAAACATTGCCAATCCTCCAGTTTTATTTGATTTGGTCACAAAACATAACTCTCAATAGACCTTTTCCATTTTAATATTGATTTGTGACCAAATCACAATATCAATATTATGATTTTATATTCACAAATATTAAATATTGATATTCATTTTCCTTCTCTGTACTTTTAACATCATTATAAAGTATGAAGTACCGTGTCAATGTTTTAGGCAGGTGTGGTAGGTTGCTCCAAACATCTTGGAGAACTAACCGCAGATCTTTTGTGGATAGGCTTCCTCAAATCCCTCTGTCTCTTCATGTAGTCCCAGACAGACTCGATGATGTTGAGATCAGGGCTCTGTGGAGGCCATACCACCACTTCCGGGACTTTTTGTTCTTCTTCATGCTGAAGATAGTTCTTAATGACATTGGCTGTATGTTTTGGGTCGTTGTCCTGCTGCAGAATACATTTTCGCCAGCCCTTTTGTGAACAAACTGCCTTCTTCTGTTGACAATTATTTCAATCAGTCGAAAGCACAAGCTGCCATTGATCTGCATCACAGTTCCTATGTTTTCCAGCATAAGTTGAGTCGCTTGGCCTTGTTTCCATGTCGGAGGTATGTCTTTTTGGCTATCTTCCACAAACTCACCTTGGTAGCAGAGTTTGGATGTTCCTCACCCAGTTGTAAGCCTCTTACATAGCTGTTTCAGTGAATGACTGTGTTTAAGGCTGCAGCCACACAAAGACGAAACGGGTCGTATCCGCTACAGTTCTCTCTCTTATAGGCGGTTCGGCCACACGAGGCCGACAGGGAAACGCAGATAACGATAACGGGTCCCCTTGGCTGTGCAATTTAATCGATCCTGCGATATATATCGATATTTTGTTTCCCGAGAAAGTATCGATATTTCAGCCGCGGGTATCGATACATTAACTCCCATTCAAATCCCCCGTGTTCCGCCTGGCACTCTGCTCGCTGCCCATTCCCCCCCGTTCGCTTTGCATGAAGAGCGGTTACGTCAGCCAGCCGAAGAGCGGTACGTCAGCCCAGCCGAGCCGCTAGTGTCGCTGTAAAGCATTCTAGATACACAGACGGCGTCGGTGTCTTCTTCTCCGCAGTGAGTGCGAAGCGGTTCAGGAGAATGGAGGCAAACATGAACCACGACTGGAACGAGGGTCTCTCCTATCTCGTCGGAGATAATCCGGCCCCAATCCCAAACACTCCCCTTCCGACGGAGTGAACTCGTCCTGTAGCCACTCGGCAGCTCCAACGAGGCTCCTCCCTGATCAGATGGAGGGAGTACAATACAGCCACGCACAAGCTTGGGGACGGCCTCCCCCTCCGCTCATCCGGACAGAAACCAGGAATGGCCGTAACTGTCTGTAAACAACCGGTTTCAAAATCAGCATCTCTTAGACAAAAGCTTTAATTAATAACTCCAAATAAACTCCAAACATCTTTCATCCCTGGCTGCTTTCAAAGCTCTTTTAGTTTAAAACCTGATGTTTATCACACAGACCTTCTTAGTTTTTTTGCAACGGCTCTGTAAATATACACAACTCTTATAATAAAATGCCACATTTCAACCTTTTTTCTAGACTAAAACACAGGTATGATCAAAAGAACCAAAAAAAAAAAAACCACAAAAAAACTAAATTAAACATATGAAGCGTTATCAGAAAATGAGGTTGTTAACATCGCAGTTTATCAGCATGGATGTTTGCTGGAACTACACTTGTTAACCGCTTGACAGCAGCGGACACACGCATGCGTGAACTCCCGGTCAGGTAGAGACCGTCCTCCAAAGGCGAGGGCCCGCTGCACGACTCGCTGTTTGAGGGCTTGATCAGCCCACTCCCCCCTCCACACGCTCCACACTCAGTAGGCGGACCTCCGGCGTCAACCGCCGCAAACGGAGGGGTAAGGGTGTAGCGGGGCCGGTTTGGGAAGGGCCCACCATCCCCCCGTCCCACCTCCCCCCCCGCTCAGACGACCACGCTGCCCCTCCCCGACCAACCGTTGATCAGATTATATTCCTGATAAAAATCTGACAGACAATGGTACGATGCAGCTTATGTAAGATTGAGGAGCCTTCTGTCTTAGTGTCTTTCTGGCTTGAAGTTAGCTCCTTTGGAACCTTGAATTTTGGCAGGTACATTTTACTTAAATGTTGTTCTACGTGAACTGAATTATTGGCAGGTTTACAGTTTTACATTAAATGTTGTTCTTATGTGACTTGAATTATTGGGCTACCTCATGATTCTGTGTTAAGCTAAAAAATGCCTGTAAAGAAACCTGTCTCGAACGAGGACCACCTGCTGCTTTCTCACCCTCCATTGTCCATTGTGATACTGCACTTTATGTACTTACGTTTCAAAGGCTTGTAAGCTACAGTTGGCACTGTTTCAATAAATGAAACAAATTTTCTCACCACATCTTTTGAGTCATTTTGTCCAGCATTTGCAAGCTGTAGACTCTCTGTCTAGTCAGAGCCATATATTGTATAATTGATGCTTTCAGTTGAATTAATTCAATCCAAGTCAATGGAACACTCACAAGATGTCACCAAAATCACACTGTCCCTTTAAAATCTTTCAGAAAATGATGTAAGTGTATCGAATTATATCGAATCGTATCGAATCGTATCGTTGGCTGAATATCGTGATATATATCGTATCGTGAGCTCAATATCGTGTATCGTATCGTATCGTGAGATTAGTGTATCGTTACAGCCCTAGGAAGGTGGGTAGATCTGCGGACGGAACGCTCTGGGGGGCCAAACGGCTCCGTGTGTACGCCCTGCCTATACGATCATTTCCTGACAACGATTAAGCCATAGCCCCACCTCTCCCAACCTCTGCTGCTCACTGCTGTAGCATGGTCAACATGTAACATGTTGCTGAATCTACCGCAGGGCATAAACAGAAGGGCAACCAGGCAACCATGCTCGGGGTGTTCTTCGCTGCTTTTGGTGTATTTTGTGGCAGAAGTACAGCACCACTTAAAGGCCCGGCATATGTACTACAGCGTCTCCAGCGGGTCGAGCTGGTTCGTGTGGACGGAAGACTTTTTTGATATTGAATTCGGTTAGTTTTCGTTATCGTCTCCGTTGTGGATCCAGCCTAAACCTACATGTAAAACTGATGATCATTAGCCCCTGTTCGGTATAATTGGTTGATCATACCCCTGACTGTAATCCTACAAAATCCCTGACTTTGTGCAAGTGTACCTGTAGGAATTGATGCCGGTTTGAAAGCAAAGGGTAGTAAAACCACATATTGATTTGATTTAGATTTTTCTTTAGTTCGTTCACTTTGCATTTTGTGAATTGATAACAAATAAAGATTCATAATTTATATTTTTGAAAGCATTCTTAGTTTGCAGCATTTTTTCACACCTGCCTAAAAATAATGTCTATATTTTTCAAGTTTCATTTTAAACACAAAGTACTGAATCTCTTTTTCATCTCTCTTTTCCCAGGTGCCCAGGAACCCAGGTAAAGGTAAAAGAAGGAAGGAGAAGCAGCGATGTTGTCTGTGGAGGTTCTTCAAGGAGTCATTACATTGTCATGTTACCAACATTATTATTGGATTTAACAGTTGTTGCGCTCTTCATCAGAGGTTAGTGCTTGTTTTCCACCCTCCATACTCATTTCAAACATCATTCCCTACCATTTTGTGTTCCCGTTACTTTGAGTGAATGGATATTAACCTTTTTTTCAACTGACCCTTTCAGCTGTATCTCTGGCAAGGGACAGCGGCTGCACCTCCAGATCAGATGGGTCTCTGAAAAGCAATGGCTAAATGTACTTTGCAATATAAAAGACACACACAAACACATTACAAATTGTGCACGCTTACTTTTGATTGTTTTAAATGATATATTGTGGTTTGATAATATTTCTGTATTTTCTTTTTCATAGCATGTGCTTCCATGTCACACTATGGGATGCGCCTCTGTAGGTATTCCTCAGAAGCTTGATGCAGTTACCGCCGCCTATATGCCACCCCCAGCCTAACCTAAATTGTTCTAACATCTTACTAATCAGAAGACCACCCCCAAAAGATCGAATACATTCCATATTTTGTTTATAATGTATTGTCTTAATGTTTGTTTTAAGAAACACACTAATCTTTGTATTTGTTAAACCACTTGTAAATAATAACAATGTTGTATAATATAATAACAGTGTTTTGTCTTTTGATTGCCCTCATAATGTTACTTAAAGAAATGTAAGGTTCAGCTGTAGCATAATATACAATGTGATCAAGTCAAGTTGTCTCAATGTGCTGTTAACGTGTGCTTTAGCTAAGACCTGGCTAAAACGCAGTGAGAACACTTGATATACCATCTCTTACTCCTCATAGATAGTGTAGGTCACCCCAGTGTTTGGGTAGTGTTCTGCACAATTATTACATACATATGGAAATCACCTATAGAAAATTGTATTTCTTCCATAGCACAGATCCCAGGCTACGTTAAACTAATATAGCAGCAGATAAAGTTTCAATCAGTGCAGGTTGCACAGATTGCACCCAAATACCCATTTTTTACTTGTTTCTAATTTAAAAGTAAAAACTTTCTTCAGTGCAAAACAGCCTAAGGAAAATACGTATCCTCAGAGCATAACAAGGATTGTATTCTGCTTGATGTTCAGACAGCTAATAAGAAAGCAATGTTGTTATTAGATAATCTGCACTCAGATCAGAACAGATATTTGCTCACACAAGGAAGATCTTTTAAAGCTTTGATCAGAATGTCCGGCTTCTGTGATTCTGGTTTCCCTGACGTCTGCCCCTTAATGTCCCATAATGTCCCTTAATGTCCCATAATGCCCCATAATGTCCCTTAATGTCCCATAATGTCCCTTAATGTCCCATAAGGCCCCACAATGGAACACTTCATCATTTAGTTGATCACAGACATAAAACCACCCAATTAGAAATATACTGCACATTGATTTCACTGGATTGGCACTAAAGTATCAAAGCTGTCAGAAATGTAGTGTAGTAAAAGGTATGTTCCCCTTTATGATGTAGTTAAGTAGAAATATAAATGAAAAAACTTGTATCTAGAAAAGGCACTTGAGTACAGTACTGACTGATTATTACACTAAGTGAAATGGTTAAAAGCAAGCCTGAGGAGCATGATGAGGACCTGTTGAAATTACCCTTTGCACTAATATTGACAGTGGTAGAAAGGGCTTGTACTCCATTGCATTCTGAAGACGACATTATACTTTTTAGAGCAGTACCTTCATTTGACAACTTTAGTTACTAGTTACTTCAGATTATCAGATAATACAAAGTAAAACTAAAAAAATACATGCTTATAATATAGTTTAAGAGCAGTAGTATACAAAGTAATTCAAATGAACTCAACCTTTAACGGCTATGATAGGCCTGTTAATGCATTAATAATCATAATTCATAATACAAGAATTTAAAATGGGCCATTACTCATAACAAGTACTTTCACTTGTGATTCCCTTATAATTTTATTTAGATGTCAATGTTTTTGTACTTGAATAACATTGGAAAGGAGGACTTTTACTTGTAACAGTGTTTACGCAATTTCGTACTGCTTCTTCGCGGTCTTAAAATCCCCACAGTGCTTTGTGCACTGACCAATTTCCAAATCTTTGGCGGAAATCGCGCTCCATTTAAGGCAGGGCCTCGCATATGACGCACACCTGCACACCTGTTAGCCTGTTTCACAATTCTTCGTTTTCCGAGGCTAGGAAGGATTCTTGCCTCGCTTCTGAAGGAAGTGACTCGGAAGACATGTCCTACCAAGGAAGTGTCCTCGACATTCAGAAAAACCCACTGTCTAAACCAGGGGTCGGCAACCCGAATAAGTGGAATCAGTGTGCAAAATATTTAAATTGTATTTTCGGATCCTGAAGGAGACCGCCGCCAGAGCGCGTATCCCCGTTGCAGAAGCAGCACGCAACGCAGCCCCGCTCTCTTTAACTCCAGGCGACTTTCTGCCACTTTCCTCCGTGGTGCAGTGCTGATCGTTTCACCAAGGAGGAAAGCACTTCACTAATTGCAGTGCCCATAAGGAGCTGTGCAAATGCGGCAGTTTTTGCTTGGCCTGGTCTTTAGTTGAAAGCCCATGGCGATCTGCTCATCTCTCATCGAGATAATATGCTACAAAGGGGCGGACTGGCCATCTGTGTGTTCTGGAGAATCACAGAACGTACGACGTACGATCGTCATTATTATCATGCCGTTCAAACCAATTATTTAAATTAGTTTGTTAAATTCGGCATCATGTAAGTTGCGCTGACAGGTCCACACACTGCTTCCCCGCAGCGAGGCTCCCCCGCCCTCCTGTTGACAGTTCACAAGCATCGAGCTCCTCATCTCCCCCACCCCCTACATTTCCGATATTACGTCATATCGGACGCAAATATGGATCAGCTCCGTTGTAGCCCCGTTTTTAGAGATTTGAAAGAGAGAGAGGGTTTTGTTTTCTGTCGCTGAGTGAGTTCCCTGACACACGGGGGACACATACTGTATTTATGTATAAAATACCTAAAAAAGTGCATTTTAAATGATAGGTCCCCTTTAAATATGTGAGAAAGTTGTTCTCCGGTGCAGCAGGTGTCGACACGCACCTTCAACGTTGGTTAGTAGTCCACCATTAAACGAAAGAAGAGGACGTCACTTCCGGGATGGGATACAATCCGAACCGAAAACTTCCACGCTGCGACCTCAGTTGCCTCTTATGGTGCCTGCCTTGTAAACCTTAACATTAACCCTCTGGAATAAAATTGCAAAACACTTATGGTGCAACAAGCATCCAACACTTATTTTCACAAGTTATTCAATAAAATACTTCCAGACAGCACCTGGGTTAAGACCCATCTGAGGGCTTGTTTTAAATTCATGGTTATGATTTTAAGACTATCATAGCCTAACCCTAGCTTCAAAGTGAACTGAAGCACCAGTAACATTTCAGACATTAGTAATGGGGTATGCATAATACTAAACTTGGCCTGACAATTAACCCCGCCTAGTATTTTATAAGAGTGGCTTGCAGCTACTAATGCAACACCTAACTGTTTCTCTCATGATGCCACAGCACTTTTTGGTTCAGCATGAGCAATAAAGGTTTGTCAAGCCTCCTAATGCTTGTTTCCAAGTCAATTGAATGATCAAAAACAAAGTACATGTCCTAACAATAATGTACAGTTTAGACCCAGCAGCTAGCTGAGGGCTTGAACACTTCATGGTTCTTATTCATGTCACATTTCATTTGACGATGTGAGATTTAAATAGGTTGGTTTTATTCATTGCATCAGGAGATGTTCACCTTTCTACTTTTTATTCTAATTAATTTCACTAATGTGGCAGCTGTAAAATGATCAAACTGAGGAACCAGTGATTAATGTTTGGGTCAGAAGTCATTTGGTATTTGACCAAATATACTACATTTAAACTCTACGGCCGTGGTCAAAAGTTTTGAGAATGACACAAGATTTGGTTTTCACAAAGTTTGCCGCTTCAGTGTTTGTAGATCTTTTTGTCAGATGTTATGGTATTCTGAAGTATATTCACAAGCAGTTCACAAGTGTCAAAGTATTTTATTGACAGTAACATGAAATGTATGCAAAGTGTCAATAATTGCAGTGTTGGCCCTTCATTTTCAAGACCTCTGTAATTCGCCCTGACATTAACTTCTGGGCCACATCCTGACTGATGGCAGCCCATTCTTGCACTATCAATGCTTGGAGTTTGTCAGAATTTGTATGTTTTGGTTTGCACACCCGCCACTTGAGGATTGACCACAAGTTCTCAAAAGGGATTCAGGTCTGGGCAGTTTCCTGGCCATGGACCCAGAATGTTGATGTTTTGTTCCCTGAGCCACTTAGTTATCACTTTTGCCTAGCTACAAAACTGTCAAACTGAAGGAGGCGGCGGTGAGATCATAATGGCAATCTGAAGTTAATGCACTTTCCAGGTAAAAACAAAACGCATTTCACTCCTGAATTTAACAACAGACTCACCACATGATGCTTTGAGTCTGGTTTAATTCAGTGGAGTTGGCGTCTAAGAAGTCATGAAATCAGTTTTTTATAAAAGCAATGAATGATAAGATAAGGGTAAGTATTAATGACTGTCGACATATTTCTTTCCCAATTTATAAAGCAGTTTGAAAATGCTTATTATTCTAAGAAGCAAAAGCTCAAGTGTCTAAATATTGTGTAAATAAATGGACTTCATTTCATCAACAAGGCCCAGGACCCCCACTGACAGTGACTGTTATCCACCCCATAATAACATTACATTAGTGCACATCATGTGAACAACATCTTGTTTTTAATACTTTGAGCCATGTTCAGGCTAAGCTCTCTGCATTTTGCACACATGTCTGCACATATTTCCATTTTAAAATATAATTCAGTTGAGATTGCCATATATTCATTGTCTTAAATGTGGTGACTATTGCCACTCCATATCACAGAGGGATTTGCCAAACTGGGTAATCTAGTAGGACGAGTGTGATCTCCATTGACGTCGACGAAGTGCTTTTAATACCATTTTATTTTGTCCCACACACCTGAACCAGGGACATCAATGATATGATGTTGCCCCACTGCGCAATCTAGTGTTCAAAATATAACCAATAACAGACAACCGAACCCTCGAGGAACCCACTGAGGACAGAGGAGACACACAGGTGATGGTAATAATCTTGATACGTTAT